ATGACTAACCAACAACAACAAAAACACAAAAAATACTGAATAACTTCTTAAAAATCAGAATTGGTAAGGATTCCATGAGACATCAAAACAGATTGAAACAAGTTCAAAGACTGAAAAAATAGAAATGTGAAATATAGGGGAAAAAAGCTGACCTGGAAAATAAATTGAGGAGAGATATTTTAAGAATTATTGGACTACCTGAAAGCCATGATCAAAAAAAAGAGCCTAGACATCATATTTCAAGAAATTTTAAAGGAAAATTGCCCAGATATCTTAGAATCAGAGGGCAAAATAGGAATTGAAAGAATCCCTGATCATTTCCTGAAATCCCAAAATGAAAACTCCCAGGAATATTACGGACAAATTCTAGAGGTCCCAGGTCAAGAAGAAAATACTACAAGCATCAGAAAAAAAGAATATAAGTATTAATACATCTGGTAAATCATCAACTATAATTAACCCTTAGAAAAACACCAAAGATACATTGCCTTGTACCACCATTGTTCAGACCAGAGAATCTCAACCTGTTCTAGAAGCAAACTCTTTTCTAAAGTATGTTTGCTTCAATAGTAACATCCAGGCCAAAGAATTGGTATTTTACATCTGAAAGATTTGGTTGATGTGACTAGGTGCATTTTTGCTTCTTCTGTCTCAACCACAACAGTGTTAATAATTAATTTTATCAATCACAAGCTATATTTAATGTCTCATTGTCACTTCAGAAAGTAGTAATTTTGTCATTCTATGAATAGTTTTGTATTTAAGTTAGGGTCCTTATGAAAGTTTTCAAGAACTCCTCTTGTGCATTTTATTACCTGATTTATTTTTCATTCAGCTCAGTTCAGTGAATAGGTAAGGTTTGTAAAGGGGAGGTAAGTGTCCTATAGAAGCAGGTAAATGCCCTATGTAGAGAAACAGGTTCAGCTGTCCCTTGACATCACCTTCCTTTCTGAAATTCTTTTCATCAAAGACCCTTTCCAATTACATCTGCAAAATCATTTTTCCCAAAGTACCAATCTACCAAAGTTACCTCTACCCTACATAAACTGCAGCAGCTCCCTATTGCTTCTAGGATATAATCTAAACTCCCCCATTTGTTGTTTAAAGCCACTCACAACCTGACCCTAACTTACCTTTCCAGGCTTATTATATGTTATATGACATTCTATTTTCACTTGTACTCAAAGTTCTCCAGGCCTGGAATGTACTCCTTCAAATTGGTCCTTTAGAAACACCTATTTTCTTAAAAAAGTCAGCTTGATGAAAGGAAAAGAGCAGTAGCTCTGGGGACAAGAGGTCCTAGTTTCAAATTCTGCCTTGAATACTTCCCATGCGGATACTGACCTTAAGCAAAGCACAAACTTCTTGGACAAGACAAGAAGAATTCATCAAGCACTTATTAAGCCAGGCACCATGCTAAGCATTGTGTGATATAAGCACATGCAAAAAAGACAGTCCTTGCCCTCAAGTAGTTTATGTTCTAATAGGGACAACACACAAAAGGGGGCTGCAAAGCTGGGGGAGAGGGAAGGGAAGGTACCTGATATCATTGTATGGAGGGTGAGGGGAGGGGACATTATAAAAAGTGTGGTGACACACTAACAAAATATGTACTATCAAAACTTATTTCAGGCCTCTTTTTAATGAATGATCACTATAGCTAGAAACAGGAAAAACAGAAGGTTGTGCTCCATATATCTTTTAAAACAACAATTAGAAGCCCCTCAAATTGAGCAGGAAAAGGAAGGAGATATATAGGATGTTACAAAAGTCTTGTAGCAATTTTAAGCCAACAACAACCACAACAACAAAACGTAAAACTGCACTAAGATTTTACATTTCACAACTTTGGCAAGGGAGAGAATTCTTACCTATATACAGAGATGATAAAAAAGATAACGTGGACAGTTTTGATTACATAAAATCAAAAAGCTTGTGCTGAAGCAAAAAAAAAATACAGTTAGAACTAAGGAAACAATTGGGGAGGGGGGAAGTTCATAGCAAATTTACCTGATGAATGTCAATGTCCAAGATATGTAAGGAATTAACCTAGTAAGTCTTCAAGTCAATACATTTTGTAGATATTAAGCTCTTATATCTTTTACTTTACCTGATTATTCAGGATTTTTACCTTGATGTCCCCAGAATTTATATTCTCTATTTTTCAATAATTTTTATACCATTTTAAGAGCTTCTAACATAAATCTTAAAAATTTAGTATAGGGGCAGCTAGAAGTCAGGAGGACCTGAGTTCAAATCCTGCCTCAGACAAAACACTTGACACTTACTAGCTGCGTGACCCTGGGCAAGTCACTTAACCTCAATTGCCTAACAACAACAAAAAAAAAGAATTTAGTCTAACAAACCAGCCATCAGAGTAATTTTATATCTTTTATATAAGTAGAAACTACTTACTGACATTACAGTATTTTAAAAAGATAATTCTGTGAGACTAATTCCAGAAGGAATTTTTATTATAAATGTAGTAACTGCTTACAGAAACAATGAAATAGGCATACAAAACAAGGAATAAAATCTTACATAGACTTTTAGCACTTAAGGTAGAATTAAATAAATTCCATCCATCAATAAGCATTTACTAAGCATCTAGTATGTAGAGGGGTATAAACACAAACAATGAAGTAATCTATACTTTCAAGGTACATCAGACAAAAAAGAAACAACAAAATGCTTTCGCTCAGCATCCCTTCATAGACAGCTGGTGGTGCAGTAGACAGAACTGGGCCTGCAGTCAGGAAGGTCTGAATTCAAAGCTAGACTTATCTATTTATTATCTGTGTAACCCTGGGCAAGTAATTTAATCTGTATCCTCAATTGTAAAATGGGAATAATAGCACCTACTTTCCAGTTGTAGTCAATATATGCACAGTTCTGATTTTTCTGATCTCCTTACATCATTTTGTATAGATATTTCTGTATTTCCTGGTACGCTTCACATTGCATCACTTTGTACAGATATTTCTATATTTCCTGGTATGCTTCATTTTTATGGTTTTTTATAATACTATAATAAACCATTATATTAACATCATAATTTATGCAGCCATCTCCACTTTTTGGGTATGCATTTTTTTCTAAATTTTTGTGACTATAGAGCTGTGAATATTTTGTACAGTGTTTTTTTTTCTTTTTATGATGCTTTTGGGATAGAACTGGAATAGCTGGGTCCAAATGTGTTATTAGTTTTAGGACTTAATGAAGTTTGTTTTCCAAAATGCATGTTTGTACCAGGCTAATGATCAATGTATTAGCATGCCTACTTTCCCCACAGTCCCATCAACACTAGATTTGCTAATTTTTTGCTATTTTTTCTATTCAAATGAGTAGAAATTGATATCTTAAGCTTTTCTTGACTACAGTTTCACTATTAATGATTTGCATATCTTTTCATGTTTGTATTTCCTCATTCACAAATAGACTACCCTTCCCTTTGGCCATTTTCCCAACAGGCAGAGTGAATTGTCAGTTTTATAGATGTGTATAATTTCCTTACAGATTCTAAATGTAATACCTATATCTAATATCTTTACTGCAACTATTGTTCCTAACCTATTTCTTTTCATTTCAGAGATTACTTTTCTATGCTGTGTAAAATTCTTTTATCTTTGCATAATAAAAGCCATTAAATTTGTCTCCAATTTCTATTTGTTTGATAAAAATGTTGTTCCTCTCTATAGCTGAGATGTTATTCCTTTTTTTCTCAGATTTTTTTACACTGAGATCACTGAATTAATTAATGGTTTTTTTTTTGTGGTGTATGTTGTGAGGTATGGTTCCAAAACTATTTTTCTGTTATATGACTACCCAGTTTTCTTAGTTTTATTGATTTAATTTAACCAATTCCAAGTGTTTTTAAAAAATGGATTTATAAAAAAAAAACTAAAACCTTTTATTCAGATTGACTTCTATCTCTAGGTTCTCTACTCTGTTTCATCAGTCTATTTTCTCTATTCTTTTTTCAGTACCAGACAGTTTTAATAAATACTGCTTTGCTAGTGTTAGGACTTACTTTGGTGTCTTTTTTTTTAGTGTTATTTAGTCTTGTTTTTTATGTAAATTTTGTCATAACTCTAATTCTTTGAAACAGCCTATTATTTTGTTTTGTATGGTGGTGAGTCATTGTTATCTTAGGAAGTATTTATAAGGAATTATTTGAATAAGGAATACAGTATAATAATGGGTTCAAAAGTTACTGTCTCTTTGGAAGAAAATCTTTGGAAAAAAATGCTGTTTTGATAAGTTATGAAGATATTGTCTATATGTCAATACTACTACAAATGTTATTAAAGCTATCAAGCCTTTCAAAAAGTTGTATTAGTGACATTTTGAAACTTTTCCACTAAAATAAAATTGCAAAAATGTTTCCTGATGTTGGTGCTTGAGTAGTCAGGGGCTCTGATCAGCTCAGAGAAATACCTCTATAGTACAACAAGCTGATTTGTGGAGAATTTAGATCCTGAAATAAGGCAACATGCCTAAAAATATCTTTAATGCATTAGTAATTCATTTATTATTATATAACTTGTTTGGCTTAGCGAGGTAGATGATCCAAATACCCATAGACAGAAAGCAACCTACAGATATGCTAAATTCTTGTGAAGCACAAGAGTACAACTGTTATGGAACTAGTAATCTTCTTCTGAACTCTACATTTCCCAATCTCTCAATTTGTTCTTGTTTGCAAATACCCTAAACCTTTAATATATGCTTTGTGAAAACAAAAATGATTATGCATCTTGTGAACACTGTAGCAATAAGCTTTCACCAAAATACTTTTTGTATTACATCACCTTAGAAATTTTTATAATTTTTCAAGCTTAATGAAATAGCATTCTGTTTATAGTAAGCAGTCTACTACTACAGAGAGATATAAGAAAATAGACTTCTTGTTGAGGTACTAAAACAGAGGAATAGGATATAGCAAAAAAAATTCATGGAAATCTTGAAGGAAAGAACAGAAATTATCCATCTAATGTGATTTAAACATTTACTAGCCTGAAAACAGGTAGGTTAGGCTTTATGATAAATCTCCAATTCTATTATTTGGGTATGCAATGAAGTTAGGGTGCAAAACAATGTCATTTTAAGAGAGCAGGACAATTTATGGTAATTACCTCTGAAATAACAAAAAAATCCATTTTAGCCCATTTGTGAGCATTTAAAAAGGAATCTCAATTTTTGTTGGTTAGACAGTTTTTTCTCTCTTCATTTTTCCGTGATTGTATTAGGTTTGATTTGCCATGGGTATCTTCAACTAGTTCTCTCAGACGGGACAAATGGTGCAAAGCCCTTTTTGAAAAAAATATAAAATACAATAAACTAACAAATAGTATACAGTGAATATTCAGTATATAGAAAATATATATAGCACAGTTCTTATATAAAATGAAATAACTAGATAATAAGTTAGACTACTTAATTTTGAACATTTTCCCTCAAATGAACTTCTTGTGTTTGTTTTAACTTAGTTCTTTAAAAAGGCATTTGAATACTATTTGGGACTAATAAATAATTTATCTTAGATTCTATAAATGTTGTGAATAATTCCAAGAACATAAATATTTTAATCTTTACAGTAAAATGGTAAGAGTTATTATCCCAATATTTAAGAAGTATGCTTTTGTATAGTTTCAGCAAATTGGTGTGAGACAATGTGCAAATACTGTAATTTCTTGACCCTAGTTGCTGCCTCTCTAGTAAAAGAAATAATGCGAGGCCCTTCTCGACTTAGCAAGAATATATTGAAGATTATTTAAGAAAATAAAAAATACTGTGTACTACTCAAAGGTAATACAGAAAAATAATAACTGTGCAAGTAGATACTCTCATTGAACCTCTAATTTTCTAGGTCTCTATTTTTCATTTGAATGCATGGTAGCATACATTCAATTATATGAAAATACATCATACTTTCTAGGGCATTCATATGTTGTTTACACCATCCGTTATTACTGTCACATGTCCCATTGCATACAGATGATGGGTCTCTAGGATTTTTTATTCTCCCAACGACAATTTCTTCAGTGACTTCAGTACCTAACTTACAAACTTCTCTCCCAAAACCTGCCATCATCCTCACTGATTTCAGTATTCATACTGAATACCCTTTGAACAGTTCCTTACTTCTTCAACTCCCATGGCCTCCATCTCCACTAAACTTCATCTGTACAAAGTGGAAATGCCTTAAACCTCAACATCACCCAAAACTACTCCAACTATTATCTGTTCTCATAACATTCTACCTTATCATATATTCATTTATCTGTGTACATCTCCCCTCCTTCCACCTCCCACACCCCATTGATAGCTCCTTTAATTCAGGGATCAGATTGGTTTTCATTACATATCAGGCACTGTGCTAGGTGCTGGGAATATACATTTCTTAAAAAGTGAAGCAGGTCCTTCCTTCAAGTAATTAATGTTTTTATAGGGGGAGACAACACATATAAGGAAGTGGTGAACAAGGAAGGGAGTTTTAGTTTGGGCAGTCACAAGAATGATGAATAAAGCCATAAGCCAATCATTTATCCTTTCCAGAAGTAATGATAGTACTGTTTTGATAAGATGTCTGGGTAGCTAAACATAAGGCCTGCACTGGATCTGGCTAGATAAAATGGGTTACATTCATTCACTCGCCAATAATGACATTTCAGACTTAGGGAGGAGAAATGACAAATGACATTGAGGGATAAGCTCCCCAAAATATCAAAGTGTAATAAGCAGACAAAAACTTGAAAAATCATAGTTGTTTGAAATTATTTTGCATAGGGACAAATAGCTCAAAACACCTCAATATCTACTGAAGGTTGTCATTTTATATTCCAGCACAGCATACTAAGTGATAATAATAATGATGACCTGAATCATCAAGAAAAGGACCGATTATGTTATATATGCTATCTATATGACAAACACCTATGTAATACACTGGTTAAAAATTTTTTTAAATAAAAAGTGATTAGAATTTTTTAAAAGATATTTCAGTATTTAGACAGAGGCAATTTAGTTTAGTGGATAAAACACTGGCCTCAAAGTCAGACCCATATGGGTATACATCCACCTCTATACAAACTGGCATTATGACCTGCAAAAAATGTCAGACATTGTCTCTGTCTTTAAAGAGATTATTAAAATAAAACTTGAAACAAAAAGCCCCATATGTGTATTTATTTATACACCATATACATTTAAATGTTACATATATCTTAGAGCCGTGTTTGACTTTTCCTTATACCTTATCACCCCGTCCTCAAGTTCTTTTACCAGCCCTCGTTGGTTCTATCTGGACAAGATCTCTCACAAAAATCCCAGTGCTCCATTTACATTGCCATTAGCCTGGTTCAGATCCTCATATTACATCTCACTTGGAAAATTACAATAGTCAACTAATTGTTTTCTCTTTCTCCAGGCTCTCCTTTCTCTACTCCATCCTTCACAAAGCTGCCAAAATCATCTTCAAATGCAGCCTCAGACCAAACACTTGACACTTACTAGCTGTGTGACCCTAACATTAATGTTTATAAATAAGAATATACTTACTTTTCAAGAGATTTAGTAATAGGAATTACATCTTCTTTTGCAGAACCTTCATCCTCTGGACACTATCAATAAAAAAAATAGCAAATCAGGTTAAATATTAAAATTTACAATATATAATATATATGTATGCATATGTACATACACATCTTTTGTATGTCTACATATATAAACATAATAAAAATTACAATGTGTATTTCTAAACAATGTGGTATATAGAATATTTTTGAACAAACAGAACCTTCAAAAACATCTGTTGATTTTCTGAAGCAATAATACCAGCAAATGAGGTTCAACAGTACAACAAAAAGAATGTTTTTTAGATTATTCATCTTTCCATGGTCCTAAGGCATTTTTGTGAATATCTGTGTCCAATCTGATTACACTGGTAGATCCTTAATTTTGTAATACAACTGTATAATTGCCAATCTAAGGAAAATTATTCTATTAGAGTTAATAACTGAAAATAAAGAAAACGTGTTTCAAAGTAAATAGACTACATAATTTGAATACTATATTGATCCAAATATTGACCATAATTTTCCAAAACACACCTTGTTTATAAAACTATAATTTTGGACAAGAGACCTAGTCATATGATTAAAGGCAATGAATACTTATTTTCCTCAAACCTGTCCAACCTTTTGAGTGTGCCAAATCTAGAATAATTACTGCTGAACCTACAAGTTAAGAAGTTAATGGAGGAAATGGAGCAATGGAGGGAAATGCCTCATTAAACAATACAAGAAACTAAAATACTTGATGCTTCCACCTATCCTCCCCATCCTCAGTCCACAAAGTAGTAGACAAAATAGTTTGAGCAATCTCCCAGGCTTGTGTTTCATATTCTAACTCTCCAAAGCGCTCCAAAGAGCACTGCCAAATTCCCCAATGACAAGGATTCATTCTAAGTTCTCCTCCCCCCAATCCACAAGCGGTCGAAAATATTGATGATGCTCAGCTATGGAAAGGACAGGGAATATAATTTGGGTGGGGAGAGGGGAGAGGTGCAGAAGACAAAGCAGTGTAGAGCTGGCTTGACGTCAAGGGGTTTTCATGTGAAAGGGAAAGGAGACCAGAAACCACCTAAGGATCAAGACTTTACCCTGGGCAAGGATCCAACCAGGGTCCCACACCCATAACCTGAGGTAGTGATGCACTAGATTCAGGGGTGTGTGTGGCAGAAAATACATCAGAGAAGTAGAGGGGGAAAGAGATAAGAGGGAGGAGGGGTACCAGAGACAAGCTATTCTGAATAGAAAAAAAGGCTAAAGAACAAAAAGTCCAAGAAAAAAAGGCTGGGTATAAGTATGGCTCCAGCACAGATAAAACAACAAGACTCAAAGACAGGAAAAATTAGTAAAAGCAAGTAAACAAAAAAGGACCATAAACACTGAACAAGTATTATACTACAAAGAAAAACCAAAAATACAAAATGGAAAAGAATACTACAGACTTTTCAGAGACCACAGAAAAACAGCAAGAAACTCCAGAAGTACTCAAAAGAGAAATCAAATAGTTTAAAGAAGGTAGTAGGGTGGTAACTAGATGGTGAAAAAAAGTTCTCAATACAGAATTACACAAAACAAACAGCAAAGCAGAGAACCTAAAGAACCTAACGGAAAAAGAATATCCTCAAAGTTGTAGAGGCTATGAAAAAACAATGGACATATTAGGAACTTTTCCACCAAAGTAGAAATAAATTTTGAAAAAGAAAAGCAAACAGTAGCTTTGACCAAACTAATTCTGTACAAACCAAACTGACCGACCTTAACAAAAGGATAAAAAGAAATAACTTTAAGGCTCATAGAATTCCCCAAAACATATATTACATTAAAAGACCTGAATACCATAAATACAGGAAACAATTCCAGAAAACCATCCATAATTTTTGAATACAGGCATTAAAATACTGATGGATAGAATCCACAGACTGCCAACAGAGAAAAATCCCACACTTGAAGCTTCAAGGCATGTAATTAGTTATATCTCAGAATTTCAGTACTAAACAACAAATTTTATAAGCAGCCAGGAAAAAGGGTCTTCAGCTATTTGAATAATTTAGAAGGATTCTGTAGCCAGAAGATATCAGACAAAAGAATAAGATATTCCAAAAAGCAAAGGATAGAACTGCCAAAAAAAGAAAAAAAAGGGTCAAGGACATTTTAAACAAATGCACAGAAGAGAAGGAAAGCAAGAAAATAGGACAGTTTTAAAAGCTATCTGTTGAATTTGTTAAATACTCAAAGGAAAAGCAAGCGGTGCATAAGTGTCATGGTTTCTTATAAAAAAAATCAAAGTAGTTCAAGTTGCAACCATAAATAAAATATCCTCCAAAGCTGAGTCTAATCATCACTAAAAAAAAAAGATGAACCTGCAACAAAATGGATTTCTTGTTGTTCAGTTGTGTCCAACTCTTTGTGACCCCATTTGGGGTTTTCTTGGCAAAGATACTGGATGATTTGCCATTTCTTTCTCCAGTTCATTTTTCCGATGAAGAACTGAGGCAAATAGGAGTTAAGTGATAGCTAGTGGAGTTGGGAACAAAATAGATGCATTTATCAAAAACAACAGGGTAGTACATTTGAATAGGACAGCAATTAAGAGAGAAATGCACAGAGATAGAGAAAAGGGCAAATACAGAATTAACTCAAGAGAGAGACACACACACACACACACACAAGAAACAGTAAATGTAATTAAGAAGAAAAGCCAAAGCAATTAAATAAATTCTATCTTGTTTATAGGCAATTGTTACCCCCCAAAAAGAAAATAAAGTTGGATTGAGAGGTAAAAGAAAAAAAAAGATCATCAAGAGACAAAAAGAATATATATGGTAAAGAGTTAAAAGAATCTTAAACATCATAAAGGAAGGATTAAGAGCAGTGGACATATTCATTGCTCCCATATAAATTAACTGATAGTTTCTCAAAAAGAATGTGGGGGTTGGGGACTTTTTGAAGTAGAGCAGAAGTAATGGAAGGGAATATCAGGATAGTGAGATTAAAAAGTATATCTCATGCTAGAAGAGCTAATAAAAGGCTTCCATTAAAGAATGTTCCCATGACAGTGGCAGTGGGGTGGGAGGGAAAGTGTAAGTCTGCGGTGAGAGTTAAGGGCTTTAAAATGGATTTTGTACAGGAAGAATAGCCACGACATGAGACTACTTTATCTAAATGTTATGCTATGGAGGAAAAGGAATTTATTTATATGTGCCTAGGATCGGCCTGCAGCCCCAAAGTGACAGAGAAGACATAGACCTGGATTTTAATTTTATCATAAATGAAAAGACACCTCCCAAAAAAGATGGGCCGATCAAAAAGTGAATGAACATATACAAGGAGAGGGAAATGGAGTGAGATCTATAAAAACAGAAAGATATAAATGGGAGTTTATATATAGAAGCTCTACCTCTTACAATATAAAATAAATAAGGAATAAATATGTCCAAGAATGGGACAACAGGATTCAGAATCAAGAAGAGGAAAGAAATGAAGAGGGAAAAGTGAATGAAAACTTTTTTTTATTAATTTAATTTTAGTTCCAACATTCACTTCCATAAAATTTTGAGTTCTAAATTTTCTCCCCCTCCCTCTTTTCCCTCCTCCCAAAGACAGAGTGTAATCTGATATATAGGTTCTACATATACATTGATATTGAACATATTTTCATATTAGTCATGTTGTAAAAAGGGATTAGAATCAATGGAAAGAACCACGAGAAAGAAGAAACAAACAAACAAAAAAAGAGAGCAAACAGTACACTTTGATCTGCATTCTGACTGCAGAGTCTTTTTCTGGATGTGGATAGCATTTTCCATAAAAGAAAAGTTTTTGGAAAAAGACATCACAATCTATCAAAAAACAAGTACTTACTGAGATGTGTTCTATGCCCTGGGATAGGTGCTGGAATAGAAATACAAAGGATGAAATAATCCCTACTCACAAGGAGCTTAGACTCTAATGAATGTTACTTAAGAATATTACTTAAACAAAAAGGTTGGGGATGGAGATGGATGATTTTGAATCACATGCTTACCTTGGCAGGGAATGGCAAGGATGAAAAAGGAGGATGGACAGATAAATAGAAAGCAAAATTAAATATTTAAGAAAGTATAAAGAACTTGGGATAGGGCAAATAAAAGAGAATAAGGAAAGGAAAAGCTTGTGAGAATACACGAGTACCAAATTAGTTTAATCAGGATCAAGGTACTGACTTATAAAGAGAGGATAAAATCAATACAAAAGAAATAAATGGAAGAAGACAAAAATCTCACAATAATAGCTTTAAATATGAATGCATTAAGTAACTCAATAAAATGAAAGAAAAATGGTGGAACAGGTAAAAAAAAATTCAACAATATACTGTGCTTAAAAAACACATTTTGAAAAAATAAAGACACATGGAACAAAAACAAGAAGCTTGAAGAAATTTAATATGTATCAGATGATTCCAAAGGAATCACAGTCATACTATCAGAAAAAGCAAAAATTAAAAAAAAATTTTTTATGAGGCAATTGGGGTTAAGTGCCTTGCCCAGAGTCACACAACTAGTGAGTGTTGTGTGTCTGAGACTAGATTTAAATTCAGGTCCTGTTGACTCCAGGGCCAGTGCTCTATCCACTGTGCCACCTAGCTGCCACTCAGCTGCTCCCTACATTATACTTTATTTTTTTAAAATTTTTTATTAATTTATTTTGATTTATCAATAATCACTTCCATATGCTTTTGAGTTTAAAATTTTTCTCTCCCTTCCTCCCCACCACCCTCCCTAAGACGGCGCACAATCTGATATAGGCTATACATATACATTCCTATTAAACATATTTTCACATTAGTGATGTTATAAGTAAAAATTAAAACCAATAGGAAGAACCATCAGAAAGAGGAAACAAAACTCAACAGAAGAGGAAAAAATAGCAATTCAACTTCCATAGTTCTTTCTTTGGGTGTGGATAGCATTTTCCATCACAAGACCTCTGGAGATGTCTTAGATCCTCGTATTGCTGGGAAGGGTTAAGTTTATCAATATTAGTCATCGCACAACATGGCTGTTATTGTGTAC